AAGACTAACTAGATGTCTGCCCCTCATTGGCCCTGCAGATTGATCTTTGGCTTCATTGGAAAACAGCATCTTCATGTCATCCTGCAAAACAAACCCAACGGCACCTTTCTTTTGCGCTTTAGTGATTCCGAGATTGGTGGCATCACCATCGCCTATGTGGGTCCCACTGATAGTAAGTCTCAAAAATTCATACTAGATGATGCACTACTGTTTTAAAGTTTGGGATTGGTAAGTTTTATGTTTTTGCATAAAGCCTGTTATGCTCACCTAGGCTACATTTATTTGATCAAAAATAGAGTAGAATAGCAATAGTGTGAAATATTATTACAATTTACAGTTGGCATTAAATGATGATTCATCTATTTTCTCTGATTGTTTAGTCTGTTCAAATCCCACCACTGGAAGCTTGTGTTCATCTTCCTCCATTTTTGAGTGCAACAACCACATCTCAAATTCCAATCAAAAACCAATGCATAGAACCAAGTTCCCGCCCTACCTTTATTCATTTTCGATAGACTGTTACACTTGGATGTATGTAACAATACAGAAGAAAAAAAGAAAAAAAACGGTCACTATTTCAGTTTCATTGCAACTTTAAAAAAACTGTTTTCTTTTTTAATATATTTAAAAATTGTATTTATTCCTTTTACGGCAAAACTGAATTTTCAGCAGTCATTACTCCAGTATTCAGTGTCACACAATCCTTCAGAAATCATTCAAATATCCTGATTTTGTGCTCAAGGAACATTTCAGATTTTTATCAATATTGAAAACAGTTGTGCTGCTTAATATTTTTGTGGAAACCATGACATTTTTTCAGGATTCTTTGATGAATAGAAAGCTCAATTTTATATTGACATTTTTTTAATAATGTAAAAATACTGTCTCTTTTGAATGCTATATACAATTTTGTTTTTGTGTAACTTAAGCATTAAGGAACAAACAAAGTTAATTTCATAGAGCCTTTGGCGTAAATAAAAGACCTATTTTACCTTACAGATAAAAGTTTATTTTACCTGACAGATGTATATATGTCCATGTAATATGTAAATGAAATGTATTGATCTATTGAGGATTTGCAGTTAAATATTTGCTCTGTGTCACTGTTTTGTTTTTCTGCTCAGACGGAGGCAGGAAAATCCAGAATATCCAACCCTTCACTAAGAAGGATCTGGATTCAGCTGGCCTTGGCGACCGCATACGGGATATTAACTGTATCACTCATGTGTATCCAGATTTACCAAAGAACGAAGTATTTAAGAAATTCTTTACAGGTGTGTAACCAGATCTTTAAAAGACAATGTCTGTATACTGAGGTTTCACTAAGGGTTTTAAAAAATCAGTATATTTTAATATTTATAAAAAATGTATATATATATATATATATATATATATATATATATATATTTTGTGCTAAATATAAGAGAAACATTTAAAAAAATGATGCGTCTGTGTCCTGAAACAGTGCCTTCTCCCCCTAATCCTGATGGTTACCTACCATTCAAACTAACAACAGTAGTCAACCCGTAAGTACAGTTATTTTGCTGTAAATTTATATAATTTTCAAGACGTCAATCAAATTTACCCTCAGGTATTAATAAAGAAACCTTGACTATATTATAAACTGAAGTATAATTTTATGAACACAGAGTCGTTTTCATATGTTAAAACAACTCTGGGTATATAAAGAGAACTGTTTCTACATATAGTAATTCAAAGTCGTTTAACTGGTACTGTAATAGGCACTGACAATGTCTGTCACATATGTCATGTCTGTATTTTTTCTTTCATGTTCAGAGGAGACCAATGTTCCTCCACCGCCAGCATACCACCTGACACCCCTATGGATATTTACGGGCAATCTATGAGCAATGTCTATGGGCCAAACATGTGCGTATCGGATTAATCAAATCGTTGTTAAAGCCACAGATATACACACTGTTGTCTTTATTGGGTGGTGTAAAATACCTCTTTCCCCCCCACAGGAATCAGGGCATGTTCTCCCCGTAAGTATAATTATACTTTCGCTTTGATAAAGTTCATTCACATTCACATCCGTCTGCTCAAATGGAACAAATAGGACAAGACACTATGCCGATTATATTTCTTGATCAGAAGGCTTTATTGTAAAACAAGCCATCGATGGCTTTTGAGACAGCATCCTAACCAAAATAGAGTCTCTTGAAACACTGTTAATTGTCACATCAAGTGCACAAGACAATCTTCTACAATCGACACTCATGGTTGATTCCAGAAGTCGAACATTAGCATATGTTGCTAAGCTAACATTGCAATATTCTAAGCCCCAAAAATGAATAGCAAAATGTTGAATGAAATAGTCAATAAAAATATTATTTTATGCTTTTGAAAAAAAAGTCTCTTATGCTCACTGAGACTACATTTATTTGATAAAAAAAAAAGTTAAATCAGTAATATTGTGAAATGTTATTACAATTTAAAATAGCTGTTTAATTATTGCAATTTTAAATACAATTATTTTGATATGTGTTAAAATGTAATTTATTCCCGTGTTGGCTGAATTTTCAGCATCATTGCTCCAGTCTTCAGTGTTAATATTATTGTAAAATTATAAATGTCTTTACTGTCACTTTTGATCAATTTAATGCACACTTGCTGAATAAAAGTATTCATTTCTTTAATAAAAATAAATCTTGCTGACCCAAAACGTTTTAATGTCTTTTTATAATTAACATTTTTCTTGGCTCTGTCTGCCATCTTGAATGCTCATTTTCACTGAGCTTGTGGAGAGCATCCTGGAAGTGGCTTAACCACTGAGGGCTCATGTGATAACATAGTTTGAGTTAGCTATCTTGGTAGGCAGCTCACTAGAATTCAGTATAGAGCAATAGCATCCAAGTAAATGTTTGGCTGCAATGACTATTTAATCACTGACTGTTGTGATTCTGTTGCCCTATCCCAGACTTCCTCAGTCTACACCTCCATATATGCCAGAGCAAATGCCTGGTCAAGGACCACTCTACACATCACCCATGTGAGTCACGGCCACAGTAAGGTTTCCTGAAAATACCTAGTATATTTGATGTATCAGCATCACTTTCTGCTAACACATTCACAAATTTGTTCTTTACTAACATTCTCAACTTTGTTTATTCTATAACAGGCCACAAGCTCCCTCAAGTGAAGAAATAGACATGGAAGCACTGGAGGGAATTTTGTCATCAATTTGTCAAGATACTAACAAAGATCTTCATTAGAGGTACAGCCTCTGTTCTTGTTGGACAAAGGCTATCAGATGGCTTGGTGCTTTAAGGACATCCAGCACAACTCGCACATCCCAAAAGGATATATTACCCATTTGCTCCCAAAACAAGTGAAGTCAGTAGAAATGTACTTTTCTTACATTCATATCCATGAATCATTGGGCGGTGGGTGTCTTTATCACATGGATTGTATACAACTCAATGTCACACTCGCTTTCTCCTGCGTAAACACACTAACCGCACATGTTCAACTCAATAATCATAGTCAATGATTGCTAGCAACTTTTTAATGACATTTTTTGACATTTCTACGAGAAGCAGGTGAACATTTGGTCTTATTAGCGTGAAGTACCTAAACTCGCAAGTCATTCCCTATTTCGGTCTTATGACTACTCTTGAAAGTATCATTATAACTGACAAGTGAAACAGGAAATTATTTGCTATCAGGTGATTTTATCAAGAGAGACCAAATAGATTTAACATGTTACACATTTTTGTCTGCTAGAAGATTTTTTTCCCTTTAAATTTGATGCAGAAAAACATATTCCAGTGTGGATATTTCACCAGAGTAGATTAGCGATATTTTACTCTCAATGTCCTGAATGAAATGGATTATCTGCAGATGCAGACACAGATGAGCTGAAATGTATAGCATCACAGCATTCTTTTAGAAATGATAGGTTTTATTAAACTCTATGCAAATATTCGTTTCGTGCCATATTCCATATAGACAGTAGTTTATTTGGTTGTTTCATTTGCATGACTTGTGCGTGATCACATATTCAACATTCAGTATTCGTACGAGTCTACAGTCAGGTTTGGCCAGTAAACCTAGATTTTATTTTATTTTTTTATTTAAAACATTTTTTTTGAATTACATATCACTAGTGAGTTTTTCTTTACTCTGCCATGTATCATTTGTTCCTCCAGTTGCACAAAATGATCTATAACGCAATTTTATCTGCAAACCCTTCTTTACATAATCAATGGGTAAAAGTCATGTAAAATACATATCATGAGCACAAAATAACAGTTTTAAAGGTTTTATGTCAGATGTAGACATAATACTGTCCACATACTCTACAGTGTTCTGTGTCACCTTTTCTGTATTTAGTCTTTAGTGCTACAAGTCGTCAACGTTCTTAAAATTGAAATGTAATATACATAGTTTCTCTACCTTAAACTGTGATTTTTGCCATCCAACAATACTGCTCTATATCATGTAAAATATAAAGCTTTCATCTTAGTGCTTTGAATATGAAAATATATCAAATAATTTTTTTGAATTACATATCACTAGTGAGTTTTTCTTTACTCTGCCATGTATCATTTGTTCCTCCAGTTGCACAAAATGATCTATAACGCAATTTTATCTGCAAACCTCTCTTTACATAATCAATGGGTAAAAGTCATGTAAAATACATATCATGAGCACAAAATAACAGTTTTAAAGGTTTTATGTCAGATGTAGACATAATACTGTCCACATACTCTACAGTGTTCTGTGTCACCTTTTCTGTATTTAGTCTTTAGTGCCACAAGTCGTCAACGTTCTTAAAATTGAAATGTAATATACATAGTTTCTCTACCTTAAACTGTGATTTTTGCCATCCAACAATACTGCTCTATATCATGTAAAATATAAAGCTTTCATCTTAGTGCTTTGAATATGAAAATATATCAAATGGAATGTTTTTCAAAGATGCCATCAGTAACTGTCTGTATGTATTTAGTCCCGTAGGGGAGTACCACCTGAAAAATCAAAGAAAAAATAAACTGAAATGAATGTGTGAGATTTAAACCCTGTAAAACTGGAAAGCATGCAGAAGTCCACTTCTAGTGTAGTTCACTCTTAGTAGACTAGAAACAACAGAGGTGCCCCTGAGCGGCGTTAGCCACCTGATCTCACTCCCTATACCTGGCAGTACAGAGTCCTCAACAGGAAGTCCTCTTCTTACCCTTATTCATAGTCCTTGGGTAGGGGTTATAGTGTCTCGATTGCCTTTAGAAGTGTGTGTGATTCTCCCTACAGCAAACTTGGTTGGTATGTTAGAGATGTGTGAGGATCGTACGTATGTGTCGCGTCAGGGATCCAAAGTTTCCTGGCCGTGTTTATAAGGCTTGTGTTTTGAGCTCAATCGGCTCCCCTCGGGTCTCCTGCTGGGCTTCGGCCTCAGGAGGTCGGTTGCCCTTGAGCACAGCCAATCGCTCGGACAGGCCAAGCATCCGGGGAAAGAGCATGAAGTCATAGAGCAGAGCGCCCATAGCACCGCCGATCATAGGGCCCACCCAGTACACCTACCAGAAAGTGAGAGAGATCAGATAGAAAATTGTTACATTTATGAATTAGTTAGCACAATGTTCCTACATCTGAATACAATGGAAATATGCCTCACCCAATGGTTAATAAAGTTCCTAAAAAGCACAGCAGGGGCAAAAGACCTGGCAGGGTTCATTCCAGCTCCAGTGTAATACATCTGCAATGAAATTCATGTCAAGTCATGTCAAGTCGAATGTTTATAATATCTTAATATCTTCATGCCTTATAAGCACATTTAGCAGATTAGAGCTGGGCGATAATATAGTTTACTTTTTTAAATGATACAAGCATTCAAGAAGTTGAGATTTGCTATATAATATATTTCACAATACTGTATGTATACAGATAAAGTTGGACATACTTATATATCCACATTTATATAAAGAGCCGGGCAATAATATGAAGATATATACAAGAAAAATGCTTTTTAATATAGTGTGCAATTCATAAGTACATAAAAAGTAGTGTCAGTGATCTTCAAATGGTGGGGTTTGATCCAAAAATCGTACTTATAAAATCATGTTCAATAATATAAATGTAAAATTAAATAGGCTTATTAACTTTTTCAAGGGAGAAAATGTTCAAAGACGTCATTATACAAACTCTACAGTATTTATCGTACTTGAAGAAAAATTTAATTCTGTCATCATTTATTCACCAACATGTCGTTCCAAACCTGAATGACTTTCTTCTGTAGAACACAAAAGGAGATAGTTTGAAAAATGTTCAGCCATTTTTGTCCATACAATGGAAGAAACAAAACAACACTGGACACAATTGACTTTAAATGTATGCACAAAAAGAGATTTTTTTAAGATCTCCTTTGCGTCACACAGAATAAATAAAGTCAAACAGGTTTGAAATAATTTGAGGGTGAATAAATGATGATGAAATTTCCATTTTTAGGTGAATTATCAATTTAAAACAGCTAATTACTCAAATAATATCTGGCCTAGTGTTTGTTCCATGTGTTAGGCAAGTACATTTTTCCACTCCGTCTATTTCATATGAAGAATTTTTGCAGCAACGTTTATTTGCAGGAGTTTTTGCTGACATTTTAGTGCTGTTTTGCATTGTAAAATGCGGGCCAATAGGCAAAACCAATAGAGAACCACTGATTTTAAGACTGAATCTCAGTCCTTTTGAATAGTCTCTTACCCCCAGCAGGTGGCCCACAAGCACTGAGAAGCCAATGGACAGGGCAGCAGACCCCAGTCGTCCATTTCGCCTCTCATCTGTCACAGCGAAGACCACGACCACGAGTTGCAGAGTCACAAATATCTCTATGGTGGTGGCCATTCCCAGACTGATGCCTGGCTGAAGCTGAAAGCATATATACATACACTTTACAAAGAACTACCAACACTGACATAAAAAAATTGTTATCCAGATTAATTTATTGTACACTGTTTTATTTATGCGAAATGGTCTTCCTTTAATAGGTCCCCTGGTGATATTCTGACATCTCTATGGTTTCAAACATTGATCAGTCATTTTGTACCACTTGTAAACAAGGCATCATTTCAACTAATGAGCTCACTGAATCAAATACACCCTCTTACCGTGTTCAGGCCAAGATTGCCTCTCAAATTGGTTGGCGTGACCCCATACAGCACACCAGCTCCAGCTAGCGCTCCAAAACACTGAGCACAGATGTAGAAGAAAGCACGAAACAGTGACATCTGGGAGCTAATCAGGTAGGCGAACGTGACAGCCGGGTTGATGTGGCCACCGCTGATGTGGCCGATGGACTGGATAAGTGTGGCAGCTGCCAGACCGAAGCAGAAGGCAACTTGGAGCACGTTGTGTGGTCCAGTGGTCCAACGCAGAGCTGATCCCAGCCCAAAAAACACAAAGAACATGGTGCCATAGAACTCGGCAAACACAGCCCGCCAAAAAGACATGGACCGGAACTCCCACATGGCTGCGATAACTCAGAGGCGATGCCGAAAAATGGAGGGATATGAGTGTGAGAGGGAAAAGAACCTCCAAAAGAACCAAAAAATAGCTTCTGGATGTGTTCCCTTTGAATTTTGTGGATGGACACAAAAAAAAAAAAGCATAAATGCTTCTATAACCTACAGAGTTTGCGTGAAGAGCAGCCCTTCTTCACAAGTCTGAAATCATCTGTCCCGTTGATTTCTAACCAGTGGTTTTTGTCATAAAACCTTAAGTGTGAAACTGACAGATGAGCTCTGCATCTATGTGAAAGTTCTAGATGATGTTTAATAAAAGAACACGGATAGACAAAAGATGAGCATGTCCTGCAGACATTCAACCTCTCTGATGGGAAAGCGAGAGGCCACATGGGTATTTATAATGACGGGGACTCTCAGTGACACTATAATCCATTGGCAGAATTGTGGGAGGGGGTTGCAGACAATACGACAAATCAAATTTAAAAAAAAAATTTCTAAACCCTTTTCTGTTCTGCTTTTCCTTTCAGCTTACGGTCGTCACACTAAAGCTTAAAATATTGGCCGCAAATCTGCAATTGAGTGATGTTAAAGTGTTAAACATATCTTGGTGGGAAATCTAATTTACAGTTATATAAACTCAGAGGCGATGCCGAAAAATGGAGGGATATGAGTGTGAGAGGGAAAAGAACCTCCAAAAGAACCAAAAAATAGCTTCTGGATGTGTTCCCTTTGAATTTTGTGGATGGACACACACAAAAAAAAGCATAAATGCTTCTATAACCTACAGAGTTTGCGTGAAGAGCAGCCCTTCTTCACAAGTCTGAAATCATCTGTCCCGTTGATTTCTAACCAGTGGTTTTTGTCATAAAACCTTAAGTGTGAAACTGACAGATGAGCTCTGCATCTATGTGAAAGTTCTAGATGATGTTTAATAAAAGAACACGGATAGACAAAAGATGAGCATGTCCTGCAGACATTCAACCTCTCTGATGGGAAAGCGAGAGGCCACATGTGTATTTATAATGACGGGGACTCTCAGTGACACTATAATCCATTGGCAGAATTGTGGGAGGGGGTTGCAGACAATACGACAAATCAAATTTAAAAAAAAAAATTCTAAACCCTTTTCTGTTCTGCTTTTCCTTTCAGCTTACGGTCGTCACACTAAAGCTTAAAATATTGGCCGCAAATCTGCAATTGAGTGATGTTAAAGTGTTAAACATATCTTGGTGGGAAATCTAATTTACAGTTATATAAACAAAATGATGTTGTCTCAAACTGGAGGAGAAAGGGCAATAGTGTATTTATCAGATGTGGGAACATGATAACATTTCCAAGAACAGCCCCTGAGGACAACTGTCCCATTCCAGCTCACGATAAGGGAACAGTGTTTAGGAACTGCCTCTTCTCTAGCCCCAGGCTACAACACCAGGGCCCCTAAAATGGTCTAGTGCCCTTCACAGTGTGGATTAAGGGCTGACACAAAGAAACAATACCTCTCATACAACAGAAAAAGGCCTCACACAGATGTAACGTATCATAACAGACACTCCACATGCACAGGACAAAAGAGTCTATGGGTCTATTTTTTAGTTAAATATTATAAATGTGTGTGCATGCACAATGCATAAATATAATATAATATAAAATAAATTATAATTTATCCAAAGCATCTGACTACATTTAAAACATTGAATACAATGTAAAGTGCATATTATAATTATGATTTAAATGCTATATATTTATATTTTATTATTACTAAATATATACTTAACATTGAATTTATTATTGTATATTATTAATAT